TATTGCACATAGGGAGACCCCTTTTCTGTAGATTATCCTAGGTTAAACAAGCTTCATGAGTGACTTCCAGATTATTTTCCCATGCATCATGAGTGACTTCCAAATTATCTTCCATGGCCAACAAGTTCATGGATTCTAGCCATTTTTCTTCAACGGGCTTTATGACATGCCTTGACAGTAAATTTGCCATCTTACTTAACCTTCCACAACAAAGAATCACCGCCTGATCATCAAGAGAAACAGGTTCCAGCTTTTGAATTAAGTCATTTAAGCAATCAAACTCCTAGTCATACAAGTTCCTTCCTAAATGAATGTTGCATCCCCCTATGGAATAGCAATCATCCATAGAAATGATTGCATAAAGATCTGGAAATTTCTCCACTAGAGGAGTGTCGTCCAGCCACCTATCTGACCCTGTTTAACATTGCGTCTGATGATAAATGTTAATTGTGAGACCAAAAGACGGATCTTTAGGTGATGTATACATTATGTGGCCTATACTGGATGTTATGGGATGATCTGGAATATCTAAAGAAAAATCATACATGCTTCTTATACCATTAATGAAATGTAAAGTTTTAATATATTTATTTCACCATGCCTAAGGTACAAAACATACAGATGGTAATAGTAATTGCCTAAGAAGTTGGCCAGGGACCATAAATAAGATTTACCTGATGACATAATCTGAAAGTAACAGAACATCGGTTTCTAGTGCTTCCAAGCATGTTTTCGTACTTTCAAAATGTTTATCTTCGATGTGCCATATCAGTTACCTCTGTAACTAAAACAGTAAAATATGCCCTTAAATGTTGGACAAAAGAGCACAACGTAGTACTTCAGTTCTTCCATTTTCTGCAGAGTTCAAGGCTTACTTTCTAGTCTCTTCAAACATGTTAGTATGTAGCTTTCTCAGTTTGGCCTTCATGTTAGTTTCAGCCGCTATATGGTACCATTTTGTGTTGCTTACCAGCATGATGCATTACTCTGCTTCTCTGTGCAGTGGAAAAACTATTGAGCTCGATGATGTTACTTTCCACCAATGTGTAAATTTGACAAGATTCAATTCAGAAAAGACTGTCAGCTTCGTACCACCAGATGGTGAATTTGAACTGATGAAGTAAGTTCATACTTATTTCTGTACATGGTTGTTTTTAGGCTCTGTTTTTATTATCTTCTCAAGATGGAAGGCGGAGTCTGTGGCTCTTCATTTATCCTTGTAGAACAATGCTAAATATCCTTGGATATTTTGCTGATGTCACAGTGAGTGATGATTTACCTTTAACATCTTAATATCAAGTTTGAGTAAGCATTAGAAATTATCGACTTTTGAGTATTTGTCCTTTGAATTTTTATGCAATAGCGGGGTTGGAAGTTTACTACAATCAGGTGGAATCACAGAGTATTCTGATCATGCTTCCGAGATATCGAGTTTCTGCTTCCTCGTTCCATCTGCGCATTCTATTTCCCTTCTCCAGACATCTCGATCTTTATTTTAATTCTACCAAAGATGATCATTTGTACACCATTATTCACAAGTTTTTACAATTTTAAATCTAAACTACGTTGTGCTCTTTTGTCCGTGAAATACTTTACATAAAGAATTGAACATAACCATTACCAAATTAATAGGAAAGCAAAACTAATATGTACATATAATATTTAATTGCCCCTGTAATCGGTTTTCTAAATTTTCGTAAATTGGAATTTGTACATCTTATTCTATATAAAGATAATTGTGATGCTTCCTATTTTGTTGAACAGAATGTCCCAATAAATCAAAAGTATCTAGTTTCACCTCCTTTTATTGATGAAATTTTTATATGTTTCCACTTATAAGTGATAATGTGTATGTTCCACACTCTAAAGGAAATTTAATAGTTTATATATTGAAAGCTTGAATAGTCTTAAGGTTACTCCGCCTGAAACTATTGAACGAATTCGGAAATCTAAATTTTCTAGTGTCATCTGTAATGTAATGGAGCAAGTCCTAATGTTTGTGAAATATATATATGTGTGTGTGTGTTTCATTGCTCGGATGTGTTGAAGTTTTGTAGCCCAAATATTGGCCACTTGGTTTAATAAAAATGGCAGTTAATTTTATACACATATACAGGCATACCTTTCCATGCGAGTGCCTGGATATGTAATTTTACAAATTCTTTTTTTTTTCTCCACAGGTACCGGATTACTGAAGGAGTAAATCTTCCTTTCCGTGTATTGCCAACAATCAAGGAATTAGGTCGTACACGAATGGAAGTGAATGTTAAGGTTTGTCGCTCTTGTTTCAATATAGAATGGAATTCAATTTGAAACATTGTGTCATGTTGATATTATTTATAATTTGCTAATAGGATTTATGTTTTTTCAGGTTAAGAGTGTGTTTGGTGCGAAAATGTTTGCTCTTGGAGTTGTCATTAAAATTCCGGTGCCAAAGCAAACTGCAAAAGCAAGCTTCCAGGTGACATCAGGGAGAGCAAAGTACAATCCATCCATTGACAGTTTGGTCTGGAAGTGAGTACGCTAGTGATTTTATCTTGTTTGGCATAATCCTAAAGCTCTATTGGACATTATTCTTAAAGACAATGATACACTTTATGCATTAGGACCTCAGCTGCATGTGAATTGAACTTCTAATATCTACTCATTGGCTTAGCAAATCCTTATATATTATTTGGATTTGATTTAGTAATTAAGTATTTGATTGAAATGCAGCCTTGCTTGATTGGGATTTGATGATACCCTGCCTCTTTATCAGTTACAAAAAATTAAAACGTAGAATAAATGGAGGGTATATTGAAGTGCCTTATGGCCCTTATATCCATAATCCAATGTCAGGATAAGACATCTGCTTGCTTTCTACCATATACAACAATAACGTACCCAGTGTAATCTCACAAGTGGAGTCTGTGGAGGGTAGTGTGTACGCAGACCTTACCCCTACCTTGTGCAGGTAGAGAGGCTGTTTCATATAGACCCTCGTCTCGGCATTATAAATGAGGGACGACTCCTTTTACCATACATCAGATGTTATAGATGGACACCTGCTTGCTTAAATGCTTGAATGAGTGGACTAAATTTTAGCACTTCCTTCGGTTCCTATAGATGATCTATAGATGCCTTAGCCTTAACTTTTACTAATTGAGCTGGTGCTTACGTAGTCGCAGCCAATTTCACTATCTGAATCGTACTCAACAGCCAGCAGATTTGTAATCCCATCAGTAAATCTCTCATAGACCAAGGCAGAGATTCGGACTCAGCTATCATGTGGTCCATTATCAAGATGATGTATAAAATGCAATTTTTAAAATCTCTTTCATCCCTTCACTTGCGAGCCCTTTCTTTTCTCTATTTTTTTTTTACTATGACATTTGCTGTCATTAGTCAATGAACAAAGATATTTTCTGTCCAATTTTATAAATGTTTTTCTCAAAAAATCTGTTGAAATTTTTTCACCATATTGTTGTTACAAGAGGGGTTGCCCTGATGGTAAGCAACCTCCACTTCCAACCAAGAGGTTGTGAGTTCGAGTCTCCCCAAGAGCAAGGTGGGAAGTTCTTGGAGGGAAGGATGCCGGGGGTCTATTTGGAAACAGCTTCTCTAACCCAAGGTAGGGGTAAGGTCTGCATATACACTACCCTCCCCAACACCCCACTAAGTGGGATTATACTGGGTTGTTGTTGTTGTTGTTGTTGTTGTTGTTGTTGTTGTTGTTGTTGTTGTATTCTTGTTACTAAACTGACAGCGTTATAAAAGAGAAGAATGCGTGCTTCAGAGTGATCCATTTTGTTCAAACTGGAGACAATTGAAATCTTTTGTCCGTGGATGGAAATGTTTAGCTTAGAGTGTGCCGTGCAGTATGTCGTGCAGTTATGTGTTATTTATGTCTGCAAGTGCATGATTGCTCGCTCGAAGATTCTTTCCTTTCAACAAGTAGAATTGCATACACTTCATCTAAGCAAATTTATTTATGCTTGAAAGTAAAAAAACAGATTTTCTCTACCTTGTGTCTTCTAAACGGAATATTGTCCCTAGTTCTTCAAGGTATCATAATCCAGTAAAAGGTGGATTGTTGATCAGTTCTTGCGTTTATATAGTAGCGAGTAGCTTAATTGCTCATTTTGTGTGACAAATTTGTTTTTCTTTTTCCTTTTCCCTTTCAGTTTCTCCCTTTTATCGTTTGTATTGTAATGTATACCTAATTTCAGTTTCTCGATCGTACAATGGCAGAGATATGGAGTACATGCAAATGTTCTCTTCCATTTTGCCACTGATCCAAGATATTATTGTGAACACTATTTACTTGTGCGTTGACTGTTTTATGTATTCTTTAAAAGGATACCAACTATACTTTCTACCTTCATCTGCAATAAATTTAGTTTCTAGTGGATCGAATCTTCAATATGGGTTTCTTGTTGCAGGATCAGAAAATTTCCTGGTCAAACTGAGTCAACATTGAGTGCTGAAGTGGAATTGATTTCAACAATAGCAGAGAAGAAGTCCTGGACTAGGCCACCAATTCAGATGGAATTCCAGGTGCCTGATGTTTTCTTTATGGTGGGGGGTTGGGGGGGGGGATTCACTTGGTTGATGATGGGATGTATTCCTCGCATCAATGGTTGTCGTTTTTGGAGAGCAGGGGGCCTGAAAGTATAAGAATTTTGGAATTAGATGCAAATGGCCTTGCCTAATGCTTTAAAAACATTTTCATAGAACAATTAAGAGTATAAGACTGCTATTAAATGTTGTACATTATCATAGTCACTATAATTGCTACTGGATACTTTCTTGTGACAAAAGTTGGAGGATTTTGGGTATCTAGCCTTGTGGAAATGTTATACTAGCCAAGCTTACTGGCTGATTGGAGGAGAGTACCTTCACTTGGTAAGAAGGGAAGGGAAAATAAATGAAGGAAATGGTGAGCTAATTTCATTTTATTTCTTTGTTTGGATTGAAAAGATAGTGGGAGGGAAGAAAAATGTAGAAGCTTTTCGTCTCATTAACCAAGTTGGACAAAGAGAAATTTGACATTGTTCTACATTTAATTTTCTTCTAGTTGCTCTTTGCTAGAAAGATAAATGTTGTACCTTACTTTTTCTTTCCGTTTTTTTCATCTTCCAATCGAGGGTGAGTAAATTATTACGAATAGAAGTGGTAGTGCAGTTTGATTCATTATTAAGAGGTAGCTTTATGGGCACTCATGTCTTTTCTGACCAAAATCAGCATAACAATAAGAAAATGTAGCCCTCAGGGCCTAGCTCAAGTGGCAAAGGGTGGTGGATTTGTGTCTTAGGTCACAGGTTCAAGCCTCCACACCATGCAAAGCAAAGCCTGGTATTTAAGTGGAGAAGGGTAGAGGGGCGGGCCCATTATCCACCGAGTTTCGAAGGCTGCGGTTGGTCCAAAGGATCGGCCCCAGACGGATTTCTCAGTTATCAAAAAAAATAAATAAGAAAATGTAGGTTTGTATAGCAGGATCTGATTCACAGTCAGTTGTGGCACTGATTAGGATTATTTAACCTCTGAAATTTGTTGGGTTTCTATATTTCTGCCATGGTTAAACTATTGGTTGCAGATGAATGACTCATTCCTTATTCATTGCAGGTTCCCATGTTTACAGCGTCTGGATTGCGAGTACGTTTCCTCAAGGTATGCTTGCCAAACTTGCAATTAACTTGGGATTTTTTTTGGGTTGAGATGCCGCTTCACCTGGTGACTGTCTGCAGGTATGGGAAAAGAGTGGTTACAACACAGTTGAATGGGTTCGCTATATCACAAAAGCTGGCTCTTACGAGATTAGGTGCTGAATAAAATAGGTAAGCTGATCTAGTTTATCGGATCAGAATTATGGAAGTCCAAGGCATAGTGGCACCGTTTTGCTATGCTGGAAATGCAACTTATGCATCTATTATGAGGGCTTTTAAACACGGTTTGTCTATAGTATATTTGGTGTTTGAAATTTATTATTTTGTTGTACAGGTTAGTACTTTACGAGGACTAAGAAAAGGTTTCGTTTCCATTCTATTTGTATATTTGACATATGCTCCCTTAAGAAAATATTTCTTTTCCTCTTTTGATCAATGGAGCGATGAAAACCATAGGAGATGAGTAAAAATATAAAAATACTAGGTAATTTCTTGATGTGCCTAAAACTTGGCGGGCAGAGTTGTCTAGTACCTATGATGGTGGAAGATAGTAGTTACTCAACATTCAAGTGCGTGCAAGCGGGACTGAACATCATAGTTATAAAGAAAGTACCTTTTTCTTCTGTACGGAAAAGATGAATTGCTTGAATGGATTTGAATCTGGTGTTTGTTACCTGGTATTCACCACAATTTCGTTCAAACAATTCAAATTCAATGGTTTTTGGCGTCAATGAGATACGGGATGATTGATGGGAGTATATTTACTTGTAGAAAGCATGACCTACACATTCTGTATATATAAAAGCAATACGCTAGTCACTCAAGAAAAAAAAAAGAATAGGAAAGTAAAGATCTTATTACGGGTCACCCATATGATTCTGAGTTTTTGACTATTAGAAAATCCTCATGTTCTAAATTTTGGTTAACCCACGTCATTTTCCTTCTTCCTACGTCATCTTACCAACTTGACTCGACTAATAAACTTCTGAAAGAAAAAGAATCAAAGAAAAATCCCTCAAATGTCAAAGGATTGTATACTAGAATCAACTTTAGTGCCTGTGTTTAGTTCAACAACTACTCAAGTTATCCGCGCTTTGCTCGGGCAGTAAAAAAAAAGCAATAGATTATTGTATGATCTTGTTATAAACTTAACTGAGATTGAAGATATACGATTTTCATATACTGACTCATAATATTTTCCCCAGTTAACTCCAAAACTCACAATACCATCAATTTCAAAATTTATTTGCGCATTTCACTCACTGCCAGATAGATTAAAAATCACTTACCAAAATACACTAAAAGAAAAATAATCAAAACTCATTGTCACAATCCTGAAAATATTATCATCTAATCTACATCTTAACATAAAAGACTAAACATGCGAAGATAAACCAATATTGTAAAGCATAACCTCAATTTCTTCAAGAGGAGAAGCTTTATGCTCAAAAGGCGTGGTAATAGAAGTACATCCCTTCTTAAACCAAATTGTTGCTTTCAAATTTCAGTGGCTTCCTCCCTCTTAACTTTTCACGAAAATATTATTAATTCTCATTGGCACAAACTCTTTTTGTGCTCATCAGTATTTTTACTATATGTAAAGTTTAGAGATGAACTCAAAACATATAATTCAATAGATAGCAGAATGCATAATTATTCTAAATGAAGCAGACTTTCTATAAACAATAAAAAGTACATATTGCTTTGGAATAAAAAGTGTATTTTGCTAAGTGGTTTTCAGTGTATTCTGCTGAACGATCTCAAGGAAGTCTTAAACTCATTTGAACTTCTCTTCCTTGGTTTAGGGGAGAAATTCAAAAATAGCCAGATTTATAACTGGTCGTTCAAAAATAGCTCAGTTTCAAAAGTAATCGAAATTTAGTCACTTTTCATGTAAAGATAAATTTGAGCGAAAATACTGTTTAAAACCCGGAAAATACGCCAATATATTATACTGGAGTTCCAACATAAGTATGCTTGAACTCTAACATATTATGTTGGAGTTCCATGATAAGTATGCTGGAACTCCAGCATAATATGATGAAGTTCCACCATAAGTACACTAGAACTCCAGCATAATATACTGAAGTTCCAACAAGTATAATTGTCCAGTATAATATACTGGAGTTTGGAGCACCGGTGCTCCAGTCTCCAGTATATTATACTGGAGTCAGCAAAGTATACCGATCCAGCATAATATGCTGGAGTTCATACACAGGTGCACCGAACTCCAGTATATTATGCTGGACCGATCTCTGTTGCAGCAAAATAATAGCTATTTTTCATTGACTACGTAAACGCTGACTATTTTTGAATGACCAGTCCGAAAATTGACTATACCGTGCTATTTTTACTTGGTTTAGGGGATGCAGAAGAGGGATAAATTCAGTTCTTCTGCCAACACTACAAAAATTAGGAGAAGAATGGCATCAACTAAAGTTTGAACCAGGGATGAATAAGAAAGATTCAATAATTTATTACTTTTATCCTATGTGAGCCTTGTAAAGAGTTCTCATCGAAACCAAATCTGCTACTGGATGGGCGTCCTAGTAACTATTCTCATCTCTATTCCTCTGTGGTTTATCCATGTCTTTTCCTAGCTTAGAAAACATATTCTGCAACAAAAATAGCATGTGAAAGCAAGAGCTAGAAGTTATATCTAATAATATATTTAGTTGGACATGTTTCAGCCACATCTACACATACAGTGGGATTAAGGTTGTTTACCCCAAAATTAGACAATAATTAAATTTATACGCGGTCTAAAAGAGACGTGGTTTAATTCAACACAAATAATTAAGAATAACAAATAAATGAATTGAAGACAAAATAAATGATCAGACCAATCTCAATGTTATGACCAAGATTGGTCTTAAATTTGAATAGTGAGCTCGTCCTCAATTGGACCCTCGGTTCAAGCCCAACCGCAAATAAAGAAAGAACCAGTGAGTAATGCCTTTTACAGTAGCTAGAAGACGAAAGCAAACTTTTATTGCCTTGGATTGCGTGTTACCATATGTTGGGCTAAAGAAATTTTTTTCCTTTATATAGTAGGAGAATTTGAACCCTAATACAAGTCTAAAAAAGTAAAAATTTGGTTTTCCGATAATTGTTGATTCATGATTGATACCGACGGGATTCATGCCATAAAATCCAGTCGAGGGAAAATATTACGGTCCCTTATCCGTCATGCGTAACCGCCTACCTCGTCTCCCAAGGTACATGAGCCATACTTGATTCGGGGTACATTATTTTGCCGTGTTCGATACTTGGTACATCGTCTGTTCTTCCTGGGTCTCGGCATGAGGAGTTCCTGGCCTTGATTATAATTGCGTCGATCCGTGCTTCCCCTTCGTTCTTTATCGAGGAATCGGGGAAGACATTGTCCCCGATTTTACTCGTACACAGATAGTCTCCCCGTTTTGCGGGTCGATGGATTAACACCGGTTTCTTCCTTCGTACGTTACAACTGGGTTGACGGGTCAACGAAATATCCCACCAGTTGCGTCGTTCAGACTTTGGATACGTGTCGACCACCGATTGACTATCCTCGAACGTGAAACATCACACACTATTACTCTTTCCTTCTATAAAAACTCCGAGCCCTTTTACACTTTTTCACTTTTCGATTTTAGAGCTGTTTGATTTACCCTCGAATTCTCCACTTAGCTCTAAACTCTTCAAATCTTCATATGTTGCTTTCTAAATCTTCATATCTTCATCTTCAAATCTTCATCCCCAACTTCAAACCTTCATATTTTTCTTCAAATCTTCATATTTTTCAGAATCCAATGGCAAAAACTTCCAAATCCGTGCCTCAACAAACAACCCCTTCGACTTCTAACCCGACCACAAATGTCGAGGCGTCTGTTCCTGAGGTGGTCCCTGAGCCTCCTTTGAAGAGTTTAGTTCCTAGGAGTTCTTCCATCAAAAACAACTTTAAAATCGAGAGGGCCTCCAGTAAGCAAGACCGAGGAGAGGGGTGTGGAGGTATATATCCTCCATCACAGAAGATATACTCTGCACATTCCGGGCGGACTGAAAATGGAAGGGCGAGGATGTGGTCGTTCTCGGGTCCAATGAGGACATTACTACCCACGTGGAGGGGTATTTAAGTTTTTAAACTTATCCCTTCATGCTCGCCCCAGTGGAGCCTATAATCCTCGGCTTCTATAAAAGGTACGAGGTCTGCCTTGGGTAGATTCATCCGTCATTTTGGAGGATCGTAATCCTCCTCCGCCACTTCGTATACAACACAGAAACACCTCAGTTCACCCTCGACTACCTGCTTTATCTTTATAGTCCCCGAATCGTCCGATGTCAGATAATTAAGCTGGTTCATCGAGCAACTAAAGCTTCATTCTTGAGTATCAATAAAGATCAAGGTCGAGGCTGGCAGGGGAGGATCGTTCGAGTGAGAACCGAAGATCTCATTCCCTCCGAATTTCTATCGTTTCCTGAAAAGTGGAACTCATCTCGTAAGTCTTCTCCTTCTCGGGTGCTTGCTATTTCCTTTCGTTCTTTTTCTAATTGCATGCATCTACCGTCGTGCAGTGGTCGCCCAAGTCCCCAATGCAGTCCCCCGCTTCAAGGAGTGGATCGAGGGGATTTACAAACAAATGTCTTGCTTTGAGCGCAAATGGCGCAAGCTCTCGAGGGGCAAGTGGGAGGCTCGTTCCCACAGTAAGTCTTTTGCTCGAATAATTACATTTACATACTTAACTTTTATATTTTCTAAGACTTTTTCCCTTTCATAGGCTTGTCCAAGACCATCGATCTTCGACCATTGAATGGGGACGAGGCCCGTCCTCACTTGCGGAACCTTCTACTTTAGGATCGCCCGGAGCTGTTGCACAGGAGGAGAAAAATAGAAAAGGGAAATCCTCTGGCTCCCCGGAAGCCGAGTTGAAGAAGAAAAGGGTTGCTATATGGATCCGGAGAAGCAACAAAAAGAGAACCAAAGCCAGGGTACCAAGCCCGATTCCTCTTCGGCTCAGGGATTTCCCTGAGGATGGCGACCTTAAGTTTATTGCTCATGAGTCGACCATCGACGAGGGAGTGCGGGCAACGACCGAGAAAGATGGCCGAGGGGTCGATTCCCCTCTAGCTTGGGAACCAAAAGAAGGATCAGAGGCCATAGCCTCCCGAGAAGCCGCTTCGGCCCCGAAAGAAGTAGCCGGTGTCACTGACATCACATAGATGCCATCCCACATATAGTCCATGTTTGAAGAGGCTCGGGCTGATAAGAGAAATCAAGTGAGATGGCGCTGAGCCCGGATGATGCCCTCAACATGTTCTTCAATGGCATAGACATGAGCGCACTGGAGGACTACTTCGGTTTTGGTCACCTGTCGTCCCAAAAAAGGATGGGCCATCGGAAGCGGGCGAGCCGAACTCGAGCCCTAAGCTAGTGAGGCAGTTCCCTGCCCCGAATGT